GACCAAGCTCATCAACCGTAACACCACCATCCCGACCAAGAAGGTCCAGGTGAGACAGACAGGCGAAGCCACACACCGCCATTTCAGGCACGATATATTGATGTTACAACTCGTTTTTCGATGTCTGTTTTAACAGCCCGCAAGTGCGTAATAGCGACGAGACTATTAGTAGGTGCACCGCGGCTGGGTTTCTATCGCCAATGGAGGCGTGGACAGTCGTGGCACTCTTTTCTGTACAGGACTTCCCTGGAGTAGTCCAGACGACTGCACGTCGTTCTCGCACGGTCCGCCGTCTGAGTGCAACTGGACCCGGTTTTGTTTACACGAACGATGCGACTTACGGACGGGCCGGGCCGGACGTGTGCCTTTTTCTTTTCTTTTTTATGCAGACGTTCTCCACTGCGGCGGACAACCAGAGCCAGGTGCAGATCAAGGCGCTCCAGGGGGAGCGTGAGATGGCCACCGACAACAAGATGCTCGGCCAGTTCGACCTCGTCGGCATCCCTCCCGCACAAAGGTGACCCGCGAAAGCCGAAAGGGCACTAGGCTAGGCGTACAGGGCGTGTGGTGCTGTAAGAACTTTTGTATTTAGCATGTTTTGTCATTTTTTTCCAAGCAATGGATGGGAGCCAATTTCCCGCCTCCAACCAGTCAGCCAGGATGTTCTCATTTCTGTATTGTATTACAGTCAGCGTTTCGTGATGAATTTTGGTGCCTTGCAAAGAGGAGCACCGTAGGGTAAGGGCCTTCGCCCTCTCCACCATGACCGTGGACAGCAGCAGTTGCCGTGGTACGCTGCAGTGTTTGGTTTGGATCGAGCCTTTCGCCATGACTCTGCTTCAACCCCGAGTCAAACCTGCGCGCACGGTAATTCTGATCCCACCGCTTTTGCATCTGTGGCGGAACACTTTTATATGAGAACTGTGTCTCGCACACGACTGGAACCTTACTTGACGTGTGCAACTTTGTTTGATTCACCTGCCCGTTGACACTTATCCTTTCACACGATTGGCATCATACTTGACAAGCGCAACCTTGTTTGGGTTCAATGGCCCCGCACACACGACTGGCATGATTCTTGACAAGCACAACTTTTTTTAGTTTCCACTGCCCCTCGTGTACACGACTGTATCATGCTTGACGAGCGAAACTCTGTTTTGGTTTCAATGGGCCCTGGTGTGGTGTTGCAGGGGTGTGCCGCAGATCGAGGTCTCGTTCGACATCGACGCGGACGGGATCTTGCACGTGGGCGCTAAGGACAAGCAGACCGGCAAGGAACAGAGCATCGTCATCCAGAGCTCTGGAGGACTCGGGGAGGTGAGAAGAGCACCAAACCCCCCCCCCCTCCCTCTACGACATATTTGAGGCTAGGTCATTTAACGATTGATGCTGACTGGGTTCGTTGTGCGCGCGAAGTCACCGCGAGCGAGCGTCTAGGCTTTTATTTCGATTGCGTTTTGGTTGATTCGATTTTTGTTTTGTTGGTCGTGGTGGACGGCGGAACGCCATTACGTGGACTCATGTGTTCAGCGGCAACCCCCAACGCTATCCTTGCTCACCCTAAAAAAAGTGACGAGTTTGTCTGCCCCCCTGTGCGACAACGCCGGCCGCGGCTCTGCTTGAATATAATCACAACCATTAACGGCGTTTTCTTTTGTTACACTTCTTAAATGTGATTTTGGTGACCTTTAGGCCGACATCGAGAAGATGGTGAGAGACGCGGAGGAGCACGCGGAAGCCGACAAGAAGCGGCGAGACCTTATCGAGGCCAAGAACAGCGCAGACTCAGCCGTATACGGGTAAGTTGGTCACACCACCACGGAGCGCATGTCCGTTGTTTTTTCTAGCAAGGAGAAAATGTATGCGTTTTCAACGCTTTCCTTGCTCTTGTCCTTTTTAGAAAGTACCGATCCTAACGTGAAAACAGTAATACAGCGTGAGAGCTTAGCAGGACAACATGGTCCTCCCTTCCATTTTTTTTTTTGCCAATCTTGAAGGTACGACCAAGTCGGAACCTCACTCACCCGTTTTTCCGCTCCTCGTCAGTAATTACTGTCTGGACGAATGTCTTTCCTTCCCTGCACATGAACAAGCAGCAGGCCGTGTTTATTTGTTCCCGTTCACTGCACTTCCCGCCGGATGACGTTCTTCCCCCCACAACCTCCTTCCCTTCCCTTGCCTTTTTTTTTTTTTCAGCACGGAGAAGAATCTGTTGGAGCACAAGGACAAGATCCCGGAGGACGTGAAGGCAGACGTGCAGAAGGCCATCGACGAGCTCAAGGCGGTGATGGAGTCTGAGGACGCAGAGCAGATCAAGGAGAAGGTCCAGGCGCTGCAGGTCAGTCGTTGGGCGGTCAGATCCGCGCACTGTAAAAAATGCTTGAAGCACTGCTTCCTGCCTGCGTGCCTGCTTTGCACGATGTATTGAAGACGCGTGCAGAGAGAGTCCCAGGGCTTCACAGCGCTTTGGTCAGATGTGTGGGTGTGTTTGGGTGATGAACAAGTGTTCGCGAGTTGGGTGTTGCAGCGGCAACCATGTCGTATGTGCAGCATATGCTGTCTGCAGCCTTGATGAACCCTTTGCCTTCACATATTTTTTGGTTTAGGAGAACGTTTGCGTTCGCTTTAGGCACGACTACACACCGAAAACTCGTCAAGAAGTTCGACCTTGCTCACGCGGTGCAGACGGCCACTATCTTCTTCGTTTGAGCGAATATTAGGTGGTACTTATGCATACGCAGCTGTGACCTTGCACATGAGCTATCAGCTATATCGTACTCGTGTCTCATTTCAAATATGGCTACTAGGCAAGACAGCAGAACCGCATTGAGACTCACCACGAGCGCAACCCCAACCAACCGCACATGTTTCTCGTAGATACGCAGGAGAGCAGAGCAAAGACCATGACACAAAAGTGCAGAAATGGAACCTCAAACCCCCCCCCCCTTGTTTTCTTCCGCTCTTTGACAGACGGCGGCGCTCAAGATCGGTGAGGCCATCTACGGCAACAAGGGGGCGGCGGGGGATGACGCGGAAGGGGCGCCAGAAGGGGGCGACGCAGAATCCGACAAAGAAAACATCCAGGACGCGGAGTTCGAGGAGAAGAAGGAGGAGGGGGAGGGCGAGAAGAAGTCTCAATGAGTGGTAGATCATTAGGAAAGCTCTTGGAATTTTATTTCGGGATGAAGAAGTTGAATTTTATTTCGGGATGAAGAAGTAGTATTTTTTGTGTCATGGGCGGGTGTTTTTGTTTGCGAGAGTTGCTCCAGCTCGAGCGTGCGACCAAAGATTTCAGGGCGGGTGATTGTCCTCTTTCTTACTTGTCCATCCTTGGTTGCAGCAGGTTAAGTTTAGAGGTTGGGAACGGGCGAAGGCTGTCTGGCGTAGACTGCTCTAAGTGGATGGTTCTTTGCCCACGCGATATGTGATTGTAGCTAATTTTTGTTCTTTCGTGTCCTATTTTTCAATAACGTTGTTCTCCCGCTTTGCGTCTCTTTTGGATAAATGGAGCTCAAATTTTGAGTGCAACGGCCTCATGCTACATGGAGGTGCTCAAGATTCGACCACACGGCATCGACATTTTGCCAAGGATGTCGTCTGTTCAGGTGTGAAGAACGACAACAGCAAAAGAGCTTCAGTGCACGTACGTTGTCTCCAAGAAGAGTCAAAAGCCGGGATGCATGACTCTCAGGCTGTATCCACGTGCACACCGTACAAGCAAGTGAGCGCACATACCCCAAACCGACTTCGACAGCTCCAATGCCCCGCGGACCAACATACCAAAAGAGGGTGGTTTTGGAAAGCGTCGGAAGGTAATTCCTTGCGTCCATCGGTCGGCTTTCGAACCCTCTTGGTTGTGGAGCAATCGAGCTTTGAACGTCTCAGTATGGCGTGTGTGTGTTGACTTCGCACTTTTTACGGTGGTTGTTGTGTTTTCGGTCTCTACTCAGCACCTTCTAATACCCGTACTGGAACAACTGACTTGGGCCCCTTGCGTGTACAGAGGCCAACAACCCCCCAAAAAGGGTAACACAGACGTGGAAGTCGAACGGAAAACAAACGGACTCGGAAAATCCTCAAACTAACGCGATAGCAGCCCAAGACAGGCGGGAAGACGATCGGACCCGGGACCACAATGAAACTTGGAGGCCCCCATCCAGAAACAGAAAGAGGGAGAGCCCATCGCTCCGCATCGGAACGTGACGCCGAGCAAACAACTTCAGAATCGCCTGAATGTATGTATCCCTGTGCCCCTGCTAGGCCGGGATAACGCCGGCCATGCCCTTCTTCTCCATAAAGTGGTTCTGAAGCCACTCCACTGGACAACATACAGAAGCAGATGCAGGCGCCGCTGCCTAGCACCATCTCATGTTGTGGGGCAATGAGGCTGTGAGAGGGGAGGAGTTGGCGATGTAGCGGTAAGGGTGCTACAGGCAACACATCAGTCCAGAAGGATGGGACGTATCCTGCGACCACACGTTGGGCGTCCGCCAAGCGTGTAGAAATGTGCGTGCGCGAGTCATCGCTAGACAGCAACGCGGCAGCGCCGGGAGAGGAGGGAAACTTTTTGAAGGGGAAAACGGTGCCCATCCACGATTCGACTCTCGTGAACTTGAACCCGTTCTTGGGCAATGGAACAACAGCCAAACATCTCAACCTGCCGTCTGGGGCAATTCCTCTGGGGAGAGGAGAGGATCCCATCTCAAATGTAAGGCTCTCGACACGTCAAAATAAATGTACCAAACAACAACAGTGGTACATCCAACAAGCACCCACCAAAGCACGCGAAAGAATAATCAAAAGCACGCACAACACAGCGCCCTGTCTGCAGAAAAACGAAGAGTTCGCGCAACGCCCTCAGCCAATAAGGAATGAACAGGACGACACCAAACCTGCCTCCACGGACCGTCCGACCCCTCATTCGACTCTAGTACGCAACATCACACGGAGGAAATAAATCAGTTTCCCCTGGGCAAGAGGCACAACAACGGCATGTCTCGTCCACCCACCACCCCCAACGGCTATCAACCAATTCTAAGTGTACCCGCCACAGCCATGACAAAAATCCGCACCATTAGACATGGTACAAGATCAGACTACTATTTAGCTGGCGGTGTCTTCCATGTCCCCTGTACATAACGACTATCATCTTCTTCAGCGAACCAACAGGCAAAACGCCACGCAGCATTCTTTGCATCGTACCATCTCCTTCCAATCACAGCGGAAAACCTCTCACCTGTCACATGTAGCGTCCATTCCCCCCCCTACCGAAGCCACAATTTGGCTGAAACTACTTGCATCTCTGCGCTTTCCTGCAGAAGCATCATCGAGCCAGCCCAAACAAACATGAATCGAAATCATCATCGACCGAATATGCATGCCCGCCCAGGGTTTACTTCCCGTACCACTCGTAGCTGAAGCTCCCTGCGCAAGAGGTGATCTGCTTCACGCCCAGGAAGGCCTCGAGGCCCCACCGTCCCAGCTCCCTGCCGAAGCCGCTCTTCTTGTAGCCGCCCCACGGGGCCTGGATGAAGGCGGGCTGGGAGCAGTTCTGCCACACGATTCCGACTCGGAGCGCACGGGCCACGCGCTCGCACCTTAGCATTTCGAGCACGGTGCGAACAAGACGATCGGTGGTCGGGGGGGGGGGGGGGGGGGGGGGGGGGGGGGG